ACAGGGACCCAGTGAAGACAGAAGGAGGTCTTTGCTGTGCACTGTGCTCTCACGCCTACGACTCTCTCCAACCCCTGTTCTCAGCACTGAACCCCTCATCGAAGGGGGTACCCCAGTCCCTCCAGAAGGATCTCCTCCTCTCCCAGTAGGTGAGTGGTCATCCAAGATGCTGGCAACTCAAGGGTAATTACTCTGATACACATTAACTTTTTTGTTGGCCTTTTGTTCACCTAGATGAATTCCCTAATCTACTTCACCACTAAGAAACAAAAAACGAGAGTCAACACTGGGAAAAAATACACCAGCCACGACTGCGGCCAGACCACTTCTTTCAGCAGCATCCCTGGCTTAAAAAGACTGTGAGCCTACAGCAACAGCACACGCCTTCAACAGCTTTGAGACACATATTATCACCATTTTATAAAAACAGTCTGGAACTATTTTCATGTTATCTAAGTGGCAAAACTCCCACCACCTTCTATAAGAGCAAGACTGGACCAAATGTTGTTGATAGTTAAACAAAAAACCCCACGACTTGAACACAAAAACTAGGAAAAAGTCTGCCAATACTTCATATTTATATTATTTCAGTTTTGCTGCAACAAACAGTACTTAGAAACCAGAGACTGTTCCTTTTTTGAGGAGACATTTCGGGCAGGCTGCATTCTGGGTTTGTTCTACTTGTCAGTATTTCTTTAAAATGAAAGGGCAGGGTCACCCATCAGGAAAAAAACGAGTGCATTTTAAAACACATGCAAAAAATATGAATTCTTTGATACTTTATGGTCAAACATCTGCTAAACTACTACTTTCCTTCAATTATAGGATTCTCAAAGCAACAATTATATCTATTTTCCTCAGAATTTGGGGAATATAATCAGTACTACCAGAAATCAACACAGTCTCTCTATATATATCTGTATGTTTTGCCAATGTTGAAACACTGGAAATGAGACAAGGACATTGACTAAATATGGTAAACCTCCAGTTTGTCAGCTCCCTAAACTGAGCACTTTCTAACATTCAACCCTGTTTGTTACCTAGAAAACCATTTCTTCGAGGTGGTGACCATTTTCAATCTCTGCTGACTTCTGGAAATTCAAGCCACTCTGTGTTTAATGTTTCTCCTCTCCCTGTCGCTAAGACAGGCATGAAAGTTACTCCCTCCTTGTAAGGAGATCAAAGACAGTGAAAACTTTCTCTTTGACCCAACACCTTCAAATTTTGGGATACATTGAAAGGGAAAAATTTTTTTTTCCTCTTCAATAAAAAAATATAACCTTTTCTGTGCTGCTCCTTTTTGCTGTGTAAATCAGACTGAATCTGGAAACTTGACACCCTGGCATGTTGCCCAGTCCTAAAGAAGAAAATAGGGAAATGCGGATTTTACCCATAAGATCACAAGGTACCGAAAAGCCTCCTGCACATCATCAGAACTGTTCCAACCTTGAGTGAGCCAACCAGCTCTATGCCAAACTCATATCTGAGCCAAAGTGGGCAAATCCCAGCAAATCCAATAAACGGGCAAAGCTCTGTGCACATCCCACAAGATTTTGGGTTAGATAGAAGACCTGCAGGAAGAGACACTCCTTGTATCCTGGAGTCAATGCTGGCTTGGGCTCCACAGCTAAAATACTGCTACTGTTTAGGGCTTCCTGTTCCTGCCCCGAAGGATTGTGGATTTTTTTTCCACACGCTCGCATGGCATATGCCGAAATGGAAAATGAGCAGCGTCAGCATGTGCTCTGGCCATTGGGTCACTCTTAGGAAACACTGGTTTGAATTTCCATGGACAGAAGGGAAAATAAACCCTGAATTTCCAACACCCAAAGCCAGGTTTCTAACTGCTGTTAGGCTATTGCCATGTTAATAAAGAGGCTTCAGAGCACTAGCTCAGGGAGCTGAGCTCTGAGGGCACCGGGGGCCACCAAGTCCAGCACGAAGTGCTAAGCACATCCAGAGAGAAGCAACGTCTTAAGTTGCTGCCAAAGCTTCCTATTTTCTTAGCTCATCAGGTTTCAAGCCTGGGGGCACATAATGGGAAGGGAGGAATGCAGGACATTAACTGAGAAGATGAGAAAGCAAGAGATGGTCTCCTGTACCTCCTGATGGGATAGGGGTGTCACCCCTTCTCATCTTAACCCCATGCCCAGACCTTAAAAAAGTCCAGCCAATGCTGTCCTCTGGCTCTAAGTAGGCATCGGTAGTGTCAAGGAAGGGATGAATCTGTCAGGGCTCTACAGAGACAGTGGTTTGTAAACTGAGGAGTCTGAAAAGTATCCTGATAGGAACACTGATTTAAAGCATGCAATAACTGTCAAGCTAAGACCAAACACCTTCAGGGATCCCCTGCACAGTCCACTTTAGAGGCAGCTCTGAAGGGTGTCTCTGCCCCTGGGCAGAACCCAGGTGCCAATGGCCAGATCATGGAGCCGACATGTGAAAGCCAGTCCTCGGCCTTTACCGCGTCCCTCTGGCAAAGCTTGGCACGGCAGCGGTCAATCTCCCTGGCCTGATCCCGTGCAGCAACAGGAGCGCAACGCCAGGAGAAGCAGCATCAAGCATCTCATATTGAATTGCATTGTTTTGATTACAGGATGACTCACACTCCCACAGCTTCTTGGCTAAAACAAGACAAATCAGAACTGCCGATATTCCCTCACTGAGGGAAATTGTTCAAATATTTCCGATGTGATTTAGGGCAGCCGCCTATTCCTTTTTCTCAGGAATAAGGCATGGTGACAGTCGCTGCTTAGAGCGGAGGGAGTGGATCTGAGAATGAATTCCTCGGAAGTGATGAGGCAGTGGTTTTAATAGTCTAACCACACATTTTTTATTCTGTGCTTGGGATGAGTGCGAGTTTTAGGACAGGCGCTTTTCTGAGCAGTACACCTTGCAATTCTCTTGCCCAGAGAGGCTGGTGACGAGCAGCTCTCGCCAGGCGTTTCCGTCAGCCAGGCGGCCGGTCCAGCAATTGGAAGAACAAGAGCCAAGAGCTCACCAGGGACCAGCTACCCCACATAACCTCCTCCAGCACGAAAACCTGTCACAGCTTGCAGAGAGCGTGATTAGACCAACAGGAATCATAACAGCCATGAACAGTAGGATAGATTTTAAATCAGAAGGTAAATAATTTAATCAAAATCATTCCACCAACTGTGAGAAACTGCCCCGCTCTTCTGTGAGAGATCTCATTGCCATGCAGTCTTCTAGCACCAACACATACACCTCTTCAGAAACACAGCAGATCTCAGAGGAAAGTAAAAAGGTGAGGAAGGATAATGTAGGTTTTTTAACATTACTCAGGATAAACCAGCGCTGGATAATACAATTTTATCTTCCGATACATCACCAACCACAGGTACTAGCCCAACCATTCAGTCATCAGTATAATAAGATCTTTACAGATGAAAAAGAAGGACATGATTAGCCTCTGTGAGCATTTTTAAACACATACATTCAGTATCTCTCTAAATGCAAACAGGCAAACCTAGGAGTAAGACCAGTCAAGTCCAAGTAACTACACAGCTAAGAAAGAGAAGCGAAAAACAGACGTCTCAGGATGTGAAGTTGTTCGCCAAGATTAAATTACAGGTTCTCTTTGCAGGTTCAGTAACACTTGCTCAACACCTAAAATGCCATTTTAATTTTAGCTTCCTTTTTAGGAAGCTTGGAATAGGACTGAACAGGATATAAAATAAGTTGTAGGTTTCACCTTTGTTGTAAATATTCTCCTATCAAAGCACTAAGCCTTAGACATATAATGGGATAAACAGATATTATTAATGGTTTTAGTTTTGCATTTTAGGCATGTGTTTACCTCAATATGACAGAAATACCTCAGACAAAATTTACAGTAGCGGTTTCCCAAACCAAATAAGATTTATTCCAAACATATCTCAAATTACCTAGTTTTACTTTGTTGTATTTTGAAGGACTATATATTTTTTCTAAACAAAACAGCTTTTATACATTACTTGTTTCATTTCAAACAAGCTCACTATCACAAAAATGTACAATTCTTAAAAAAATTTATGAGTACCATGTTACCTTTTACTTCCTAAACTAAATTTATTTTCTCATAAAGAAATAAGAATGCTTTTGAAGTGGTCTAGGAATAAGTCTATTGTTACTTATGGAGACTAGTCACAGAAGGCGGCTGTCATCCAGCCTTTAAATAGCAATCCTGAGAAAGCCCCACATCAACACCTACAAAACCAGAAACTTATAAATCTGTTTGCAAGCAAGCTAACATTTTGGGGCTCAAAACACCTGAACTTTACTGAACCCAGTGAACAATCATTCTTGTTCCCGAAGTAACGTATCACACATGATCCGCTAAAAGACACCACGCAGATCAGTAACAGGTAAGTGCCAAAGACTTTCCAAAGTGCGCATGAGAGAGCGAGTAGAGAGAAGAGGGAGGAGGTGGAGGGGAGGAAAAGACAAACAGATACCAATTGCCACGCTTAGCGAGGGGCTGGCACTTTCCAAGCTCAGCACGAGATTCTCCTCCTCTTCCTGCTGTCTTGTTTTTTGCCAGAATGAAGTGCTGAGCTTGGCAGAACAGGGCACAGCAAGAAGAGCAGAAATCACGTGTCAACTCAACACCCCATGGAGAACTTCTCTGGCCAAAATGAAAAAAGAAGGGCTGGAAAACCCCAGATCACAAGAACAAGTTGCCCACCAACCTCACTGGAGGAGCAGAATCTTTGCAAATGAGGTTCATCAGCGTTAAACAAAAGGGTATAGATTTAACAGAGAGCTCAGGAATCAACTCTAATTTTACAAGCTAGTTCAACCACACTGAATTAAACCGAACTGCATCATTCACCACCATGTCATCCAGAAAAGTCCCAGAAAAATAGCATCTTGTCTTGCAGAACTATTATAGCAGGAAGAAAACTTCAGTTTGTCCATTGAGAGAAGTTGTTGTTAGGGGTATAATACAGTTTGGCGTTAAAAAACAAGTGATACTTAATTCCAAAGGGAAGAGTTACCTTCTGGAGGAGTTGCAACACTGCTCCCAAGCCCCAAAATAGCAATGCTGTGATTCCTTGGTTCCAGCATCATTGCAAACTCTTCTCCTCTTTCCCAGTGTGGTATTTTCACAGGCTCCAGATGCACATTTTCCAGCCCATCTTCCTGCAGGGCACTGAACATATACTTGATGGCTGCATCTAAATTTTTTGAACCGCTGAGTCTAGGTCCTATGCTATCGGCAAAAACTGCTAACCTTTCATAGGATCTGTTCTGAGCTTTTCCATGAACGGCAAGATCAATAATAGCTTTAGCAATATCAGTATAGCCAGCTATCTCATTTTTAATGTCTTCAAACGTTTTTGGGTAACTGTCATCTCTTCTCAAAGATTTCCCAGCATACTGTGGTAATAAATTCATGAAAAATATTAAGAATGCATACTTCATTTTTTCTCTTTTTTCTTTTCCACAGATGGCCTGCTGAAGAGACAAAAAGAAAAAAAAAAAAAAGGAATATTAAAAAAAAAAATCATACAGCTATCAGAAATACCTTTTGTTATTTGGACTGGCAGACAAACCAAAATGAAAAGAAATCAGTTTATCATGAAAATGCTTTGATCAGAACTGGCAGGAAAGTAAACTCAACTTGGAGACACAATTATTGAAAGCAAATGAAAAAGACTTAGACCGCTGGACACAATCTTTGTTGTGGTCTTCATAAACATCCTTGGAATGCTGCATCTCTTTAAATAATCACATCCTTCACTGAATCAAAACCCAGGGCTGCTCCCATCCAGGAGGAGCTTTGCATCTCCTTTCTGCTAGGAGCAGGATTTGCCATAAGTGCCAAATCAAATGTCTTCACATGAAACATCTGGACAAAAAAATTTCTTAAACCATTCATGAATAAAAGTGCTTCTTAATCTCTACCTTCATAATCAGGAAAGCACTTTCTATTGCACTAGAAAGATGTCAGAGCAATTTAGATCCAATGCCCCCAGGAAGAAAGTATGAATTTCTTCATTTCATAAATCCATGACTACCAGAGAAACACAATTTCTTATTAACTGGTGTATCTCTTAAGGACTGACTTCAGCAGCACTGTAGAGAGGTGCAGCGCCAGGGGTGCTGATCCTGTGTTGAATACCAAGAGTTACCTTTGTTAACATTTTATAGTTTATCTATCTTATCATTAAAAGTTCTCATTATCAAGATCTTAAAAATTCTCAATCCCATAAAAACAATGGTTTGTCTATATTATTAATTGAACTGACAAAAAAACCTCTGGAATCAGTTGTAGTTGCAAAGGTCTTGTACAACATAGGAAATATGATTCTCCAAACCCAAAATACTAAGGTCTTTATACACAAAAGAAAATGTAATTGTTTCATTTTCCTTTGAATTTAAATCAGGCTGCAATTTGAATGATAAAAATTAGCAATAAGAAATAAAGCCTTTAAATCAGCTCTATAGCTGCACCTATTATGAGACTTAAAAAAACAGTAGTGATTAGTTACAGCCAAGTGAAGTGACAATTACTACTAGCCCAAAAAGATTTTGATTCAGCACTTTTGCCATTTTCATGGACTTTCATGGAAATACCAATATTTTTCAAAAAGAATGTAATTTGCCTTAAAAAATATTAATGCGAAAGGCAAATGTTAGCCTCTACTCTATAAAAGATGTTTTTCTTGGAAACAGTTGTTCTACAAATAGGGAAGGACTAATTAGCTGGCTAATATGGATAAAATATGGGTAAATCAGACCTGCATGGCAGAAGTATTACTAAAAGCTTTTGCTGTTAAGATTTCCACATTATTCTTCTTCCTTGTTTGTATTCATTTAGTATTCCTGGAGAGTTATACTCTTCATTTTATAATCACTGCCCTGAGGAATCATGACAATATACTCACTTTGTATTTTTGGTTCATGATGTTCTATGCATACAGAAAGCCAGTACAAAGGGGGGTGGGGGGTATGAGTGTGTGTACATATATACACATGTATTTGCATATATTATATCCACATATGATATTCACATGTAAAATTTAAAAAATCCTCCTTTATTTTCAGACAATTGAGCATTAATTCTCAGTCATTTTATGGAGTACCCAAGTTTCACAATAACCAAATGGCTTTGTAAATCATAATGCCAGAAGGGATCAGAGCATCTATCTAGCCTGATCACCACAGAACACTGATTGCAGGATATTCCTGAATTAACTCCCACCACTAGAAGCCACACAGCAAACCAGCAGTTGAGCCAATTCCTGAGAGAGTAAAGGTGAGGTTACATCATTTTTGTGCCTCTGGGAGCATGTGCCACAGTTGTATTTGAAGCTTACGCAAGCTCCATTCTGAATGATCTAAGCTAAGAAACCCCCTTTCCACCTATGTTTGCTACAATGAACCACAAATAGATGAACTTATTTTCTCAAGATGTTCATTCTGGACCATTTTCCAGCATTTGCTAAAAATAAATAAATAAAAATAAGCCTTTGAAATAATGAGGTTACAGTAACAGACAATGAATTCTGACATCGCATCTAGTATATATCTTGACCCATTTCCTCTCCTGTTCTCTATTAGTTTCAGTGTATTTATATTTCCACCTAGAAATCTTTGTCTCAGTGTAGGTTGCAGGGACTTCTCATTTGACCTGCCCTTGTTCAAGAAACATGTTGAGATAAACAAAAATCTGGGAAATTCAGATGTAAGTTTGGTAGTTTGTACAGTTGCCACTTCTGATTTTTTCTCAGGTTTTTATCCACATTATTCTTTCAAAGAAGCTTCACCTTAACAATGGCTGAGCATGCTAGGAGGAGCTGAACTACTACTCTCAGTAAAGAGTCTAGTTGGTACTAAGAATTTGAATGCTTATCCTTCCTGGATGTTACTATACAAAAGCACTAGTAACTTGAAAGCAGAACCTCTGCAAAGTCAGTAAAGTGTAGATCACACAATCACAGAATGGTTGAGGTTGGAAGGGATCTCTGGAAGTCATCTTGTCCAACCCCTCTGCTCAAGCAGGGCCACCTAGAGCAGACTGCTCAGAACCATGTCCAGACAGCTTCTGAGTATCTCCAAGAAGGGAGACTCCACAACCTCTCTGGGCAACCTGTTCCAGCTCGGTCACCATCACTGTAAAAAAGTGTTTCCTGATGTTCAGACTGAACCTCCCGTGTTTCAATTTGTGCCCATTGCCTCTGGCCCTGTCACTGGGCACCACTGACAAGAATCTGGCTCCATTCTCTTTGCACCCTCCCTTCAGGTATTTATAGACATTGACAAGAGCCCCCCTGAACCAAGGTGTTCAGCTACTTTTCTATCCACCTCTCTGTCTGCTCATCCAGCCCATACTTCATCAGCTTCCCTAAGAAGATCTCATGGGAGACAGTGTGAAAAGCCTTACTAATGTCAAGGAAGACAATATCTATCACTCTCCCCTCTACTACTAAGCCAGGCGTTTCACCATAGAAGGTTACCAGGTTGGTGAAGCATGACCTTCCTTTGGTAAACCCATGCTGAGTACTCTCAGTCATCTTCTTGTCCTTCATCTGCCTGGAAATGATTTCCAGGATTCATTGTTCCATATCTTCATGACTGAAGCGAGGCTGACTGGCCTGTAGTTCCCTGGGTCCTCCTTCTTGCCCTTTCTGAAGACAGGAGTGACTTTTGCTCTCTTGTGGGGCTCAGGTACCTCTGTCGATTGCCATGATCTTCCACAGACAACTGTGAATGGCCTTGCAATGACATCAGCCAGTTCCCTCAGCACTTGTGGATGTATTCCACCAGGGCCCATGGACCTATGGATGTCCAGTTTTCTTAAGCATTCCCTGACCTGACCCTCTTCACCAAGTGTAAGTCTTCCTTGCTCCAGACTTTCCCCCTCGTCTCAAGGGCCTGGGATTTCTGAAGGCTGGCTGTACTAATAAAAACTGAGGTGAAGAAGGTATTCAGTTCCCCAACCTTTTCCATGTCTTGTGTCACCAGGCCCCCTGCCCCATTCAGCAGCAGGCCCACCTTTCCCTAGTCTTTCTTTTGCTGCTTATGCCCTTACAGAAGGCCTTCTCGTTGCCCTTCACTTTCCTTGTCAGATTCAGCTCCAGGTGGGCTCTGGCTTTCCTAAACCCATCCCTGCACGCTCAGAAAGCATCTCTATATTCCTCCCAGGTCACCTGTCCCTGCTTCCACATTCCGTGCACTTTCTTTTTATGTCTGAGTTTTGCCAGGAGCAACTTGTTTATCCATGCAGGCCTCCTGGCATCTTTGTTTGACCTCCTGCTAGTTGAAATGGACTATTCTTGAGCTTGGAGGAGGTGATGCTTGATTATTACTGAGCTTTCTTGGGATTCTCTTCTCTCTTCCAGGGCCTTATCCCACAGGACTCTTATCAAGCAGAATTTTGAAGAGGTCAAAGTCTTCTCTCCTGAAGTCCAACACTGTGATCTTGATTTTTGCCTGGCTCCCTGCTCTCAGGATCCTGAACTTCACTATCTCATGGTCACTGCAGCCAAGGCTGCCTTTGACCTTCATATCACAACTAGCCCTTCCTTGCTTGTAAGTATGAGGTCCAGCAGAGCACCTCTTCTTGCTGGCTCCTCTATTACCTGTGTCAGAAAGTTATCATCAACGCTCTCCAAGAACCTCCTGGATTGCTTATACCCTGCTATACCCTATCTTCTAGCAGATATTGGTATGGTTAAAGTCCCCCATGAGCATCAGGGCCTGTGAATGTAAGGCTACTTCCAGCTACAGAAGGCCTCATCTACTTGTTTTTCCTGATCAGGTGGCCTATAGCAGACACCCTCTACAATGTCACCCATATTGGTCTGCTCTTTAATCCTTATCCACAAGCTCTCAGTTGGCTCATCATCCAACCCCAGGCAGAACTCCAAACACCCCACCTGCTCTCTCACATAAAGGGCAACTCCATCTCCTTTTCTTCCCAGCTTGTCCCTCCTGAAGAGCATGTGTCTATCCATTGCAGCATTCCAGTCATGTGAGCTATCCCACCACATCTCCATGATCCCAACAAGATCATAGCTCTGCAACCACACACAGATCTCTAACTCCTCGTATTTATTCCCCATGTTGCATATATTAAGCGTACAGGCACTTAGAAGCATGGATTCATCAGGGAGGTGATAGTGCCCCTGTACTCGGCACTGGTGAGGCCGCACCTCAAGTACTGTGTTCAGTTTTGGGCCCCTCACTACCAGAAGGACATCGAGGTGCTGGAGCGTGTCCAGAGGAGGGCAACAAAGCTGATGAAGGGTCTGGAGCACAAGTCTTATGAGGAGCAGCTGAGGGAGCTGGGGGTGTTTAGTCTGGAGAAGAGGAGGCTGAGGGGAGACCTGGTTGCTCTCTACAGCTACCTGAAAGGAGGTTGTAGCAAGGTGGGGGTCAGTCTCTTCTCCCAAGTAACAAGCGACAGGACGAGAGGAAACGGCCTCAAGCTGCGCCAGGGGAA